GCAACATTAAAATAGCACACTTTTTTCCATTAAGTGCTGCTCCAAACAAAAATTGAGAACGGAAGACGCACTTCGAAATTAATATTGACAAGTACTTACACTTTAAAAACTACCTCAAACTCCTGTGAGTAGGACCTGCTAGTACATTGCGGAAAGCAAGCACATACTTAATTATATCTCTACGACACTGTTCGCACATGATAATTAGAATACTTTGAAATACCAAAGAATATCTCGGAATATGTGTTAATGACTAAGACAATGTTTACGAAAATCTGGAATTGGTGTACAGATTCGGTGTAGATAATTAGGTACCTATCTCTTGAATTGTATAATTCGTTAATCTTTTCTACTTCTTTTAGAATTACCTTTACTTCTAAGTAAACAGAATTTTCATCGAGTTTGTGCTGCCATCCTAACTCACTATACACTTAAAAAAGTCCAGCATCTACTCCAATATGCTAAGCAGAGCAGTGCAGAATACTGTGTGTTATTACGCACCACATGCCTAATCCCCCAGAGGAATCAGTAGGTTAGTGGTATGGACACTAGCTTACAAACACAAAGGTGTCGGGTCTGATTCCCGAGACTAGCGACGAATATCGTTTGCTGTTTTTCCTCCTTGAGGTAGACTCGGCCTCGTTAAAAATGAGTACCTGGGGTTTACCCTGGGGTAATAATAGGCGACTTTGGAGAGTAGCGCTTCCACACTTCTTCCCTGGAATTCGTTCCAGTTAGGGTCGGACTAAATCAAGTGGTCCATACCCACTTATCCTGTAAAACGTTGTCAAATGATCTAATGCGGGGTACAAATTGTATGTCAAAAATGCATTAAGTACAACGTACAAGTGTTTTGGAAATGTATGAGATAATTTTGTAAGTGGATAATCTCATTCTCACATTGTAAAAATGGAGACCTTCATCACTGTTAGATAATCAGACCTGGTCGATTAAATTTTAGAGACCTTGGGTCCTACCCACGGATGCTCCTGAATTGCCATGATAAAACACAAACAGTAGTGTAACAATTAAGGTGACACAAAAATAGACCTTTGGAAGTGAGCATGCAAAAAGAAAAATTAGAGATCCTGCGGATAAAGTATAAAATCGACAGGTTTAGATTCTCATGTGCGAACCTTTCGAAATTCTAAATCTGTATATTTTGGGTTTTTTCAAGGGGTCTGTGAACAAATAAATTGTGACAATTATTGCACTGCTCCACTTACAGGAAAAATTGCTAAATGGGAACACCTACAAAGCATGTAGTATATGTAATGGTATCGCTTAAATGTACCACATATTAAGGTTAAATTAATAATGCGAAAATGATTTTGTATCAGTTTAATCTAGCCGGCCAGTCTTATTGGTGGTCGATCAGCAGTGTTACATTCCGACATTGCATAATAATAAAATGCAAGACTGTACAGTGTATATTTTGATGCCTTCACCTGTAATTGTTACACATTATAAATATCCAAATTGTAGAATAAGTAGAGCGTATTTTAATTTTGTAGTTCATTCTATTTGTCACCTACCCATTTTCGTTCACAAATTAAAAGATGTTATTTATATCCCATTCTTCATAAGATCATTTACAGGAAACTGAGTAGCAAACAAGATGATTATCACATAAATAGTTTGGCTGAGTTTTAATTACAAATCTGTGCTCAAATTTAGAACATAAGGCAAATATGTTCCGTACAAAGTTAACATCTCACTCAAAAGTGTGGCATATAAAATTATTTAAATAAAAGGTTTAAGGAATAATTATAGGTTACTAATGTTTGTCCATATTTCTGAAAGTTTGAGAATTGTTGAAAGGCATTGAAATCTAATTATCCCAAAAGTTTGTTCCTAATTTAAAACTCTGCAAATACGATAACACGAAATATTTGCACAATTATTATTATGACAATTAAATTAGGTACTAAGTACTCACCTAGCTAAAGCCATTCTAGCATGCCTACACTATTTCAGAAAAATTCCATGCAGAATAGCAAGGAGTAAACGAAAATGTCTCATCCGAATTAATCATTTTCCCTAACGTTGTTTCACAAATTGTTTTTAATTACAACATAATTTTTAGAGGATCTTTTCCAAACACAACACACTACAACTACAAGGCCACCAACTTACAACGGAATAATATCAATCGCCATTATAACCTTATTTTCGTACCCAACGAACATGACGTTGGCGACAAATTGTGAATGAATCTGTTGCTCACTTCATTTCCGCGAAATTTTAATTGAACACTGACACAAGTGTCCGTATCGGTCCGTACACAAACTATCAAGACACTCGTCGGTGAAATGAAAACAGAAGAAATGTGTGAAACTGTTTTCACTTTCTGAACGGTCTTTCTATTATTCAGAGATATAATCCAAATTTTTCCATTAGCACAGGGGCAATGATGGTGCAAACTAACTGATCCGCAAAAGCATTATAATAATTTATTTTTACTGCAGCACATCAATAAATAAACTTTGCTTATTTATATTTATGTTTTACGAAAGTTTTTTCGTGATATCTCCTATAATGTCGAGTAGTATACACGCTAGAAGTAGAACTATGTGATCCGATAGGCAACACATACTGCACATTTTCCATGATCCAAGTTCATATTATGTACAGTTTCTGACTTATTAAATGTCCCTCGAATGCCTCATACCTGTTACATAGGCAACCAACATTCCATTTACTTAATTCGTTTGACTTTGGTTTTTAAGTGGAAGGGATGCCGTTAGTTGTAATTTATCCGCACATCTTTTTGCGAAAGCGGGCAGCAAAATCTTCGATTTACCTGCTAGGAAACTTACGCATATGTAACCTCGCTTCATGGCATATTTATCAAAATTGACGCGCCTAAAATTAGGAAATGTGATTCATCTGACAAAAAAAATAACTCTTGTCACAATAGTAAACCGTCCGCCGTCTTTTAATTCAATTCTCCAAGTTACAGATTTTAATTTGCCAAATTTGTAATGCATAGTTAATATAAAAAAAAACTTATAGAAATAAAATATAATCTTTTCCTTTCTACTTTACTATTTTTAGCGCATTTTTACAAATTTATTTGTAAAAAAGGTACCTAGCTTTTAATCTCACTTTGGCCGGCCGACCGCGGGTGGCTGGCAGCAAATGCGGGCCCATAGAAGAATGGTTTTAGAAAGAAGAGGAATTTACATTACCTACCTATGCCTACCAGGGCCGTGTAATTAATGACTTTCGGGACAGGGCTGCATGATGTGGGGTCAGCGACTTCTGGGCACTATCCCGGAGCGTGTTATCCTGGAAATTGTTCAGTTTTTTCCTATCTTCTTCTACAGTGGGTACCGACAAAGGGAATGTGGTAGCCCCCGACAAGATCTTACTGATGGTGGAGTCAACACTCAACTCAAATTGCCGGTGGGCGCGACGTCGGAAGTGTGTACCGACAAAAGGAATATGATGAGATCTTACTAAAGGTTAGTCAAAACTTGAAACGCGTATTGCGGGCGAACGGGACGTCGGAAATGGATACCGACAAAGGGAATGTGGTTGCCCACTTCAAACGCGAATTGTGAGTGAACGGGAACCCGGAAGCGAGAACCCACAAAGAGTAAGTGGTTGCCTTCGACAAAGTTTTACTGACGATGGAGTCAAAACTTCAAGCCCGAATTGAAGGGTGAACGGACGTCGGAAGTGCGTACCGACAAAGGGAATGTGGTAGCGATGAAACTGTGGGAAAAGGTTGGACGTATGTCCGCGAAGGTTTCTGATTTAGTAAAATTGCGCGACGTGAGGCGGTGCTGCCGAAACCGACCTTAACTCTTTACTTATACCACAGACAACTAGTATATGTTGTCTGTGCTTATACCAAAGAGTAACTGCCGCCTTGGCATATTCTTCAATGTAAACAAATGAACTCGTTCACACCTATGCGCTTTGCGAGAAAGTATCATCTAACACCGCGCGTACCTTCATTCGACTGATGAGTGATGTGCCGAGTCATTTTTATTGCTCCGCGCGGTTTATGCTCTTATATAAATCGAGTAGATCTATTCAGTATTCACACGTAGTAGTAGTACACTACCCGCCGAGCGCGAAAGTAGCTTATTTTTCGAAGGAACACCAATAGTGCTTCTGTCTCGGTTTCAACCGTTCTGCGCAGATGCTGAAAACCAGGGATTGTCATATGTCATATCATAATGGACGTTAGGGAGAAAGTTAGCGTCGGTTAACGATATTGGAAACTGGGATTAGTAGGAGCGGCTCTACCGTTTATTTTGTTGGTTCTGTTTTTAAAAGTTTATCCACACAGGTAGTAGGTAACCATTTTATTATTTCTTGTACTTGTTTGGTTGTGGTATTTATTGTCACTTAATTTAATTGAAGTCGATGTCGGCGTAGAGCTATGCTTTTGACATGATTTTTTTTGTACGTGCAGTTTACCATTTCATGAGTTGTTTTGCCTAAATCGAACCGTAGATGTGTTTTGTATTCTTTTTGATTTATTGTGTTCTCCACTTGTTATTTTTCATTCTAATTCATTCTAACTTGCAGTTTGTCTACTTTTTTTTTTGAGATATGAATTTAATTATTTTGTTGTTGTTTAGTTATGTTAAGATTTTGAGTTTTTCTTGTGTTTCTTGTTGGGCAATAAATCTCTATTATTATTATTATTATTATTATTGTGTTTGTGATGTATATTGTGTTTTGTTCTTGTTGACTTAACTGCATTTCACTTGATTACCTGATTTGATTTATTGAGCTGTCCACTTGTATATGACTGTTGTGTTTGGTTTTATTAATTCGTTTAATTACATGTGATTCGATATTTGATTTTTATTGTTCGATTTGTTTTTCTCTCTTGCGTTTCATTGTTGTAGTTCATTAATTTTCTTTTTGCATTTATGTGACGCCGGAGTTTTTGTCCCGCAGAAGGTTTGCCTGTAAGTATAGGGTAAGTCAAGATTGCAGGGCCGGGTTGGGAGACCCTATAAGATCATTACAAAGGGTATTTTCTGATACATGTATTTCTCCCTAATGTGTCCCCAATAGACGAAACCTTCTTTAGAACAGCTTTGAAGGATACATGTTACACTCATCGTATGCCTTCCGTACCTTGTTCAACAAAATTGTCAGAGAACTACACATGTATATGTATAGTATGCCAATTTAAGCTAACAAAGTTATTAAGGTACCCGTTATGACATAACTTAAACATCGTAATAATGACATATAATAGAGCAAATAATAAAGGTTACTACAATAAGGTTCTTACAAAATTTGTTTCTCATTTAAAAAGGCCTCATGGCGCATTTTGTGTCCCTAATCGCTTCATAAACATTTCGGATCCATATTCTAAAGTTAATTTCGTTGTAATTCAATTTTCCGAATAGGAATACTGGCATGGCATTAGTTATGACTATTACGTCATCACCAGATATTTTTACATCACACGGATACTGGAATTTTTGATCATCCTTGTAAATGATATCAAAATTGTCTGGCGTTGCAGGAGTAAAGCTATTCCAACAAGCAAGTGCGTTTTGATTAACAAGTCCCAAAAACAATATGCCAGACGTCCTGTGTAAGTCGGAGGCGGAGGCTTGAGTTTGTTGCCCGCGGTTAACCTCGACCTAAAAATGTACTGCCTTTAATAATTGGTGTATAGACGCCCATAGATTTCAGACCATGAAATCATTGCCATGATCCATTCTAGTTGCCAATCTCCTATTTTTTAAAATGTGCGTTGATACGCTATAGGTATGTGTTCCAGCCAGTGAATGGAAGTAAGCGTTTCTATGTCCATCGGGTTTCACATCCGATAAACTAAGGCTAAAAATTCCATCGTTCAACTGAAAGTTGACATTCCCAATGGTAAAATCTTTTGCTTGTGCATCTGGAGAGAAGTAGTTATGTGACACTCTCCATGACCTGTTTTCTTGGAAACTGTACACCACTACACCAAATCCACTAAGATCTGGCATATATGCGTAGGCACTATTGCATGTTGCAGGTGTCACATCAACTACCATAGTCGCTAAACTTGTTCGATTTGTTATATCTAACGGCCTTAACTCATATCGTCGGATGATTTGATCGGTAAGCAAATCAATTATCACAACTGCTGGTTGTTGCAGACGATTCACGTTACCTAAAAATAAAAATGCTTTTAATAGCAGCATTGAAATATAATGACAATGGTCTATATTAATTTTAGTGCAGGATAACCAACATACTTTTATTGCGGTACTTTATATTAGAAAAGTAGTTTGCTATGTACAATGTAGATTAGGTATGTACTTGGTACATAATTTTAAAAAAAAAACACACACACACACACACACGTTTGCCATACATTTTTTCAATGACTGACAGAATTAAAATAGTCACACTTCAGCTTTACACTACTTCATTGAAATACAAAATCTGAATTTCAAATTACCTACTTACTTACATAATTATAGGTAGGTAAATATATTAAAACAAATCAAATTCAGCTTCATCTCCAGCTCTTCGCAATAATAGCAAAAAACAACACGGTTTGAAGAACTTACAGAGGGAACCTACAACGCCATAACAAAATACAATCTTCTATTCTGCACAGTCTTAATCTTTAAACTAGGTATACCATTACATCGCCCTACGGTAGGTACTACCAGGATCTTCATAATTGTTGGTGGCCTTCTACACAACAAAAGCAATACCTATCGCTGATAACACGGTTTCAAACCTGTAGAGTCGGGAAGAAATTATAATCGGTAAAATAGAGGTCAAAATCTTGTCAATTCATAAACACGTACCCTTCGCCCATCAAACTCCAGCGATAGGGTTGCAGCGAATTTGCTGCGTTGTATAGTCGCTTTCTACCACACGCAGTGCCCTCTGCAGTAGGCGTTATTCTTTCCCGCCACTACAAGGGTAAATGCCAGAAAAACATACTATGAAAATATCAATATCAAATCTCAGAAAAACTAAAATTTGAATAAAGCAACGTCAACGGGCCCGTTGCAAAATGTGTTGTCCCTCCTGAATCGAATTTTTCACGATGGCTATCAAAATTTCAATTTGCAGTTTCTTTTTCAAGTGCGTATGCACATTGAGATGTCTGCTTTCAAATTTCAAACAAGAAGTTCCGTTACCGTATATTGAGACACCGTTTAAGCTACCGTTGCCAGATACCGAGCCACAATTCAATAGCGTTCCCATGAAAAAACAATAGAGAGATATGGAAAAATTAAATAGCGCCTGTATACGCTAATAACGCCATGCGCTATTAAGTTAACGTCATGCGGTAAATGTGGCTGTTTTAAGAGATATGGAAACTACATACTGGCGTGACGTTATTTATAACATTCATAACCTATCTTTTATAATTGTCAGAGTTTATTATTGGTTAGCTATTTCATTTTCGATATTGTTGATTATTTACTTATAACGACCACTACCACTAGGACTGCTCATGGCTTATGAAGAATGAAATATATATTTTTTTTAAAACACTAGTTTCTCTTAACTTCAAAAATTCTAAACATCTATCTCTGCGCAGAACCTAACGATGCGGTATTTGAAATAGCGCACAGCGTTATCCCTCCGTAAATAGGGAGTTATTGCAAACGTTACGACGCAGTTCCCTTATTAACGCTGACCTTATTTTGACATCTACGCGTGCGCAGACAAATTTTTTAATTAAGGGAACTTTATTAAAATACTGCCTTCCCTTATTTACGTCCCAATACGGTAAGGATTTAAGGTAACCTTATTTTCCCTTAAAGCATCAGCTGAGTAGTATCATAACCTTTAAAATTTACATGAAATAATCTTGGAAGATCTGCTCTTGAAAACCGAAAGTTTAGCAACACCTCTTCCTCAGTTAAGGTATTAAAATCGAAAGGGGGCCCTTGGTTGACTTCTTCGCGATTAACGAAAATATTATCCATAATGACATACTCATAATCATCATCTGCAGCGTCACCCAGAATAAGAGCTTCCAAAACTTCTTCCATTGCATCCACAGAAAATAAATAAATACTCAATCATAAAAAATTTAAATAGTTTGAGGTTAGAAATAAATAAATACGTTGAGTGTTAACTGCTTGTAAACTGTCACATGCAATAACTCAATTTGTGCTGTCAAAAATAAGGTAGTTCCTTATTATAGTAAGGCAGTATTTAATTAAGGTTTGACGTTATAGTATGTGTGCAATAACTCCCTAATAACGTCAAGCGCTAACGGTAATAACGTTAGTTACTATAAAAATCAAATCGCGCATACCTTTAATGTCAAAATAGCGCTACCCGTTAATACCGCTAGATGTGGGCGAAGGACCCATATCTCTCTAATAGGTCTTCAATGGGTACGTTCCACTTAACGCCCGCAACGACCACGACGCCCGGTTGCCGTTCCACATAACGACGTTATGGTCGCAATCGCGACGTCAGATATGACGTCATTACTATCGACCGCAACGAGCCCACGGCGCTCGCCTATCGTACCTGGGTCAGCGTGGGCGTTCTAATTTTATAACCTTACATTCTTGACAGGAGACATTTCTAGAGACATTTAACTGTCAGACACTGATTGTTTGAACACGCATGCGTTACAAATTTTTCGTTTTCGCTATGGAGAAAATATAATTACGTGTTTCAGAACGTAACCTTGTGGTGGACATCACTATGGATGTTCTACATGCACAAACTGGTAAGTATATATGCTGATTCGTGAATGTTAAAGTTATTTGTTAAGGAAAATTCTGCTCTAACACAATTTTCTTTATTGTAGATCTTAGATTTGCAACTAGTTTGCTGCAAAGTGCTCTACCAGGGAATGCGAATAAGACTCGTATAAATGGTAATGCAACGATTAATGAAAATGCATATTAGTTTTGAATGAAGAAGAGAAATTGTTTTCGAAGCAGCATTCCCAGAAGAAATTCTGGGGAGAAGTGTTCATTATCATCGTATTAAGTATGGCCGCAGCATTTATGATAGAAATTCAAAAGTCGTCTTCAATATTTTATTAACAAGAAGCAATATCTTGTGTAAAGCGAAGAAGTATGTGTCAATAATTGGTACTAAAAAATAAAAAAAATTTTACTAACTTAATGTGACTTTTGAATTCATAATCCACCCCACTTTCTATCCTTTACGCATTACGATCTCCTCAACGGCGTCCATGTTGGAAAATTGTTCACTCACGCGTGACGTCACACCGTACGCAAAAGCGTTCCACTTAAGGGTTCGCCTAGACGCCTACAACGCCTCTAAGCTAGTGGAACGACAAAACCGCGGTCGCGGTCGTGATCGTTGTGGGCGTTAAGTGGAACGTACCCAAAGTCAGCTATTATAACAATAGTAGTCTGTATAGGGAGGAAATGGTGGATAGATTTAGTTTTGCCGAGTTAGCTTTTCGAGTTCCCACAGGTTCATTTTTTTGTCTTTGAGTTCACTTTGCTTTGGTTAGTCAGTTAGTGTGGTGTTCATTGTAACAGAAAGGTAATGTACTTAGTTGTAATTGATTTATATTGTAGATTATGTTGCCTTCAGCTAGTTGTAATGCAGGGTAAAGTGATTCTTGAATTTGGTGTAATTTGCTTTCAATGTAAAAGTGGTTCTTGTTTGATTTGTTGAAGATTGGCCAGTTATCAATTTTCATGTGTTTGTTTTGAACCCATTTAGATTGATTAGCGACTTCAATTCTTTGTGTATGAATCAGCCTTTTTTGAGTGTAATTAACCGTTTCGCCCTTGCAGAGGTACATGCCGGAGTGATAAAAGATACTTAGCGGCATGTATTTCGAACGACAACTTTAGTCTAAGGTTACCGTATCCAGGATCTTAGATACCTGCTAGATTGGAGGAGGTCTGGCTAATTATTGATGTTTATTTTATGCACTTTATGTAAGAGACTTCGGAATGTATCTTTCACACATGAGAAAGGATTGAAGGTGCTTTTTAAATCTACTTGTGATGGCCATCCTTTAACTTATCAAGTTTGTATTGTACTAACGTCAGATTTCAATCTGTCCAATTCAAGAGTTACTTACTCGAGATTGGTATTCTTTGTATAACTATTGTAGCTGTGTTGTAAAATGTGTTTAGCATTATCCAATGTTACCTCTCATTCTCCAGATTTTCCCTCTAGATTTCACCTCTGTGAACAGTGAGTCGGAATTTTCTTTAGCACGGTTCTTTTGTCCGACGAGTTCTAGGGGAACCTGACACTTTTTGGTTTTAAGTGTATTCTGTCTAAATTTGTAGGATGTCTTTCGGCCTTTTGATTCATGTTTACACTTTTGATCAGTTCTTTAATAAACTTTATTTGTGTTTCAATTTCAATTAAGCGTATTATTTGCGTTCCGCCTTTCCGAAAATTAGCATGGGTATGAGTGAGTGCGACCTGGCCTTCCACAACGTAGGGGTTCCGGACATTGTCGAGTGTGAGGTTTGTGTTACTACGCAGGTGTTCCGAGTTCGTGTTTTTCCCGTTTTCGTTAGCGCGGGAGCTGTCGACTTGGGTACATCACAACATTTATTCCGTTATGTAAGTTAATGGGCGACTAAAATTTTTTAAGCTTATTTTTTTGAGTTGAAAGTGATTCAGACATCCACCAATTTGAAGCCAGTTTATAGAATTTTTAAACCTACGTTGAGAGATTGGTATGTTTTTAAGCTGAAGCGGTACGCGACCTCGTTTTTGCGCTAAAGCTTGCACGTGTACTGTGGCGTGTGGCGTCCAAATTAGAACGATTCAGAATCGTTGTGAGTTACACCTTAACCTTAAGATTGCTTTTACGTGAGGATACTGTATATGCGATACATAGTGTATAGTGTACAGTCTGTGGTCAAAATTCTTGTTCAATACACTTCCCAGACTTCGGTCATTCTAACTGCTCTTGCGCAGTGATGTACTTTTTGAGCGAAGTATTTTCAGTGTTAATGAAAAAGTATCCTTGTGTAAATAGTTCTATGTGAACCAATAGACCATCAGTGCCCCTAAAGTCGTAAAATCGCCGGGCGAGTGGGACCAGCGAGAGACAGAGAGACCGAAATTTAGTCGCCGATACTGTATGCGAGAAGTATGCGTATGTGAACGGTTCCATAAAACGCAATTGGGTGCGTTCACCAGAACCTACTGTTTGCAAACCGTTTGCGCTTTTTACATAAGTACGTTCACTGAACGCGTTGCTAGTTGTTAAACTGTTTGCAAGCGGACGCCATTTTTTGAATCGCTGAAAATCACAAACATGTTTGTAAAGCATGCATATTTGTTTAAACCATCGGCATATGGGTTTATGCGCGAAATTGGAGTAAATTACTAGTATACCTATACATCACGACCAAAAATTGTATAATTGCACATTGCACACAATGCGAACGGTTTGCAAACAGTTCGATCTGGCAAACGCACCCTATCGTTCACAAAGCACCTAAACAGTTTGTGTTTGCAAACGTAATCAAAGCGCAAACACCTTTGGTTCTGGTGAACGCACCCGTTACAGATGTATCCACGGCTACGGGCACTGTATCGTGTATCCTCGTGTAAAAACGGTTTATAATCCACGACTTCCCGTAACCTACGCCCTATCCCACTTTGAGAACGTTTGACCCTTTCTTTCATAGTCTAAAGGCCCTCCTTCACGTGCAGTTTTATGTCAGTTTTGGACTGACGCTCCTTCAGTTAAATCCAAACTCGCACGTGAAGGGCTTCAACATGCCAGGCGCGCTTCAGTTGCGGCGCGGAGCGAAGAAATCAAATCGTACTAAATTCCTGGCGCGAACTGACATGGAGCGACATCAAGATGTGAGCATGTAGATGCGGCTCAGTTCTCACATGGGGATTGACACAATATGACAAAGGTGGAGATAGTACGCTTAAGGTGTGCAAAAGAGAGATAGCTTTAGTAGAATGTATGTAATTGATGATTCACGCATTAAGGCCCCCCTTCACGTGCAGTTTTACGTCAGTTTTGGACTGACGCTCCTTCAGTTAAATCCAAACTCGCACGTGAAGGGCTTCAACATGCCAGGCGCGCTTCAGTTGCGGCGCGGAGCGAAGAAATCAAATCGTACTAAATTCCTGGCGCGAACTGACATGGAGCGACATCAAGATGTGAGCATGTAGATGCGGGTCAGTTCTCAAATCGGGATTGACACAATATGACAAAGGTGAAGGTAGTACGCTTAAGGTGTGCAAAAAAGAGATAGCTTTAGTCGAATGTAATTGATGAAATTTAGAATGGATAGTCCCGGGTAGTGCTATGTTTCCCGGGTTTCAGGGTTTCTTTGATTTATCTCCTTTAACAAATCGATGTGTTTGGATTCATTTCTTCTCAAATACCACGGTTTCGCCCAATACTTTTTTCTCTTTCTTTTTCCTTCCCTTTCGTCGTCCACCAGCAACAAAAAAGCAATTGCTTTCCTCTTCTTCAAACTCAATCTTTAACAGCACTGTTGCACTACCAGACTCAGGAACAGAATAAAACTGAAATAAATTAAAAAAGCGCGAACGTGTAGATGCAACGCATGTCATACATCGGGAGCGCGCGCCAGGAATTCAATCCTGGAGCGAAGATAAGAACTGCACATGAAGGGGGGCCTTTACGGTATCCTGTTTGTATAAATGGTCTTTCCAAGTTCCACTGTCCATTCTAAAATAATTTTGATAGTCCTCAGGGTTTTTTGAATTATCTCCTTTAACAAATCGATATGTGTGGATTCATTTCTTCTCAAATACCACGGTTTCGACCAATACTTTTTTTCTTTCTTCTTACTTCCCTTTCGTCGTCCACCGGAAACAAAAAAGCAATTGCGTTCCTCTTCTTCAAACTCGTTCTTTAACAGCACTGTTGCACTACCAGACTCAGGAACAGAATAAAACTGAAATAAATTAAAAATCCAGCGCGAACGTGTAGATGCAACGCATGTCACACATCGGGAGCGCGCGCCAGGAATTCAATCAGGGAGCCAAGATAAGAACTGCACGTGAAGGGGGGCCTAAGTATCTACCTCGTATCGTTACAATTCATTTACCGGACTTATGACGTTAATAGGGTCTTCCTGAAAAAAAATATTGTAACTTTTTTGTGTCTTACTGTAAAGTTTATAACCTGTAATTAAACATCTCATATACAAAACTTTTTTTCCTGATTGCAGCATGTCAATAAACAACATATAATATCGTAAAACTTTCAAATTTTGTCATGCAACCGACGACATGCCGATATTGGCCGAGCGTCGCATACGTCACTACGCGGGTTGCCGATCGGGAGTTATACATATTAGTGCATGACACTGATAGGAGTTAGATTCGACTTATTATGGCAATCTGCCATAAACTGAGTTCTGACTGGTTCGTAAAGGGGCAGTTAGATAGTCTGCCAAAGGTTGAAGTGTTAATGGTCGCCGCCTTTTTCTCGAAAAGTGAGTTTTTCCATGCCACTCGTTTGAGTGGAGTCAAAGCCCCGAAGCAAATCGGTTATGGTTCATAGGAAGTATAACATCAAGTTATGTGTGTATAGTGCAAGGTATAGTGTAGGTACCTAATACAGTATGCACCTTACGGATTTCAACGAGAAAATTAGGGTGTGAGGAAGTGAAAATAGAGAAAAATGTGTGCGCTGTAAGGGCACAGATATGCCCAGAACAGAGTTCGAAGTAAATCATATTCTGAATTACATATCGATGGATTTTCGTCGATAACTGACTAAAAGTAAATCGACATTATGTACTTTAATTAATTAGAATCGTCTTCACAACAATACAAATGGGATGTCAAACTCGCGGTATCACGTCGAACTTTTTTCGTATATTTCCTGTTGGGACGTTTATATACAATTTATTAGGTTCGCGATGACTTCTGCTATCACACTCAGGTACAAATGCAATAATTATTCGACGCTTTTTTCCGTCAAAACGATGTTTTCTTTCTCTGAATCGATTGTAAGCAATGCTACTGCTGAGCGCCAACGCGCGTATTGACGTCACTGCAACGTGGCGGTCATTCGAAACTTTTCAAACGCCGTTCATTTTAAAATCGTGTTTGCTAATCACAATTACGATTTCTCTTGACAAAAAAATGAGTACCACTAATTTTTTTAATGTGCTTGGAGTTCATTTTCAAGGTTTTTGAAAAAACGCGGAAAACCCCATTACTATACCTAGTAAGTCTAAAATGCATTTGACGCCTTATAAAAGTTTAATGAAATTTTATATTTCATGCTACTATAAACTCAATTATCTTTAATATTTTAAAAATATATCTACATACCTGGATACTCGAGGGTGCCAGTATCCACCATCCACAACCTATTACAAGGATCAACTGCAGTTCTATATATTGATACGAAACCATCGCTGTCACCTGTTGGTAACTGATTTATAGCAAAATTCGGATATGATATCAACGGAACATTGTGTTTCTGTGATGTGTTGGTCCAGATAAAATTAAGTGTTGATGGTATACCTGGTCTTCTTCGCGGGACAGTTACAAATAATTTATTACGCCATCTATTGGCACTCATTGGTATGTTATTCTCTGCAAAGAAAAAAACCACAATTATTTCACTAAACCATAGTGTAAACTACATTCACTATAATCAGAGACTTGTTATACCTAGGCCCCCTCGGACTGCGCAAACGCAAGCGCGCTAAAATTTGAATTTGCTGTAACGCGCTCGTATTAATAAAGCGTTCGGTCATCACTGTGAATTCCAGTTACATTATAGTCCCAACTTGAAAGCAACCGTCATGATCCTTTACAGCATAATATTGAACAACAAGAATTGTAACGTTATTATTTATTATAATCAAAACCCTTCTACCATCATGGTGTAGGGAAAATAAATTAACATATTCTACCACATAGGTCACTATAAACCAAGCTATAAACTATTGTGCTCCATTTTTTCCTATCTCGCGTTAACTTCTTAAGGCGCAGATAGACTAGCAAATTACATGCGACAATCTCGCGGGAGAAACTTCCACATGTATTTACACTGTAAGCAATAAAGTGTCACGATAAACTATCGGACAAGTTGGGTGAGCTATTGCTGCCGCAAGTTCTCGCAAAACTGTTTACACTAGCAGCACTTTTAGCTTCCGCAAATGCTGTCAGTTGATACCATGGTGTATTATACACCATGGTTGATACCTAGCAGCTGTTTTCGAGAATTATCTCACGTTATGGCGTCAATAGGACATCTTTGTGTTGCCGCAGCTGTAGATTTATGCAATAATGTGAAACACAAAAGAAGTGTTGGGTTAGATAATGGATTTCAAGAAGAGAAAAGTATGGGGCCTACCATAAATTAATTGATGCGCTGCCAATCGGAGAATCAATACCAAAATTTAAAAATTTTATTCGTATGTCAGCGGTACACCTTCAGGAACTGTTATTACAAAATTAAAAAGAAGGGTACTCATTTATGTGTTACAATACAATAATAAAACTCGCACGTTTACTCGCCAAAATATCGAAACGAAATGGAAAGTTTGCGAGAACTTGGTGAGCTGCACTTTTGCCTGTTTAGACTGGCAAGAAAAGTGTCACAAGAATTCTTCCGCGAGTTCGGTCAAATGGACTCGGCACTCGCAATGCTATTTAAACTTAAGACAGTAAATCACGCGAGTTTTCTTTCTAGTCTAAAGGCGCCTTTAGCCTCCTCCCATTCTATGCCTTGAACTTGAAGTATTCTTGCTACTTAGGTACATATCCCATGTCGTCATTTATGCTACCCCTTTTCTTCCTATTTTGAATTCCGGTGTTCCATATGTGTTTCGCAACCCGACTGTTCTCCATTCGTCCAAGGCGTCCAAATAAACGTTTTAATTTTTGTCTATCACAGGTCTTTATCAGAGCATCCACTTCTTTTTTATCTTCTTACTAGGAATTCTACCAACTCCCCTTACCCTTCGCAAGTAGGTACTTCATTTCTGTAGCGTGTAGTCTGTTTTTTGTGATTCGTTCAGCACCCAACTCTCTCTCTACCGCTTGCCTTTGGGCAGTACCGAGGGAGTCAGTGTGCAACACATCTGTAAGTGTGCACACAATGCCACTCGCGTATAATAGTACATTATATATCAAGGTAGAGAAGTACAGTATTATTGCCTGAGCACCAAGATTACATCTCGAGGCGCTTGCGCCGAGGGGTGTAAGGTGCGAAGGCAATAATAGACTTCTCTACCGTGGTATATATACTATTTTTAGCGCATTTTTGAAAAAAATACGCTATTATATTCGTCATTGCTGGCAGGCCGGCTGTCCGCGTTAGATCTCCACAACTACAATAGCTAGAGACTTCAAATTTTCACTAAAAGCTTTCTGCTATAGTGTAGATGTGCAGGCACTACTCTATTTTGAGTTAGATTACTTGTGAAATCGATAATTGAAGAAAATAATTTCGATATGGGTTTCGGAGGTGCTATAATTTTACCGTTAGATAGCGCTACCAGTATAAAAACTTATTATTTACTTTGTGATTTGTTTTACAAAATGAAGACGTACCGTCAATTGAAATTAAATAAAATTAATTATTTAACGCAGCCAAAATTACTCGTGAGATCGATAATTTTAAACTTCGCTAATAAAATACTGACCTGCATTACCAAAAATGCGCTTTAATCATGCATATGCTGATTTACAACTTGTTTTTTCACTACTAGCACTTGAAATCCTCTAAATTAACATATTATTTTGATAAGAAAGTGAACGGTTGGACGGAATTTTTTATTTATTAATTTATGATGTCAATCAAGTCGTGGAAGTACATACAAGTCAAACAGGCCGTATTTTGTTCTGTCATTGAGATATTTTCAAAGAGTAATTTAGTTCGAATTTTTTGAAAATGTCAATTTTAGGTATGTAATTTCTCTGGAAATGGTGGATGGTGGCAATTATTCATTTTAGAGAACTTGTCTAAACGTTTATTGAGCGAAATTTCGGGTTGTGTTTTCTAAAAGTGACAGCGTGACAGTTCTCATTATTGACTACTAGTTAATAATGTCCACATTATTAACCACTTTGAACAAATGCCGAGAAAGCCTACTTTACAAGTGGAAAAAAGGTTAATAATCATGTCATCAGACGCTAGTAGTGAAAAAAAGAGTGTTTCCAACATGTTTAGGCAACACATCATACACGTAAAGGCAAAGCGCGAACCAGTTTAGCAAGATCCTACATGTAACCAGTCGAAATAACTAGATCATTGCATAAAAATTTTATTCAATGGTAAAATGAAACGTGCTTATCGACATAAAAATGTTTATTAGCTTTTAAACAATACTCATTTGTTGTATAAATGTCTAATTCTCACATATACTTCGTTTATTTTCTTATTTTTGTAATGAATACGTATTGTAAAGAATACCTTCACTATTAAGTTCATTCACTGCAGCCTGCAGGACATGATTATGATATGGTCTTGAAGTGCCAAAAACAAATTGTGGAGGTTTCTGCGCGACGTACAACAAAAACGCCGACTAAACAAATTCATATCTCTGTTACACTATCACAAAGATTGTTTCTCAAAATATTCTTGTGCTTTTCTGCTTTTTCCATTTCATTATACATCTAACATCACTATACCTAGATGTAACTATCCGGTAAAAAAATACCTTATACGAAAATTTACACTACATTACATCGTTGAGTGAAGGATCTAGATCCTTCACTCAACGATTACATTTATTTCATTATTACCGTTTATAAACTTTTCTGAGGACATTATGTGTCTAGAAAGTGTGCGCTTTCGATTCAGCAAAGAAATTTTAAAACATATTGAAAAACTAGCCCAGTTGAGCGATATAATCCCAGCAAAAACATAATAGTGAAGATTGGAACGCGAAAGTTACGAGTTCGGTGGGTGGCCTACCATGTTGACAACATACAACTTGAGCTATGCGCGGTCTAGTAGTAACAAGTCTCCGAGTCCGACTATAATAATTATGACAGTCCATTTCTGTTTCATTATCTTAAAATGTTTTAAAAATAATGGCGGATCTATGCCATCATTATCATTAGTTTACTATCATTAGATATTTAAGAAACAGGCAATATAGAAACAGAGGTATGAGAGATTTTGCATCACGTGCGTAAAGCAAATACGCGGGAACATTTAATTTTTAAATGCGAAAACTAAGGTAAACCATTAAACTTCCCCCTAGCTATTTAAATGGACGTGTTTTTGTAATTGTTTAATCAAAATTACAAATTACAATCGATGATTCCTTTTGAAATAAAATCCTTCCTTTTGCCTACGAAATTATTTACGAGGAGCCTAACTGCCTAAGCACAACAGTTATTATTATATGACAAAGATAATCCTTTATAGATCCTAAGATCCCAAATATTTTTTAGCGTCCACACGAGTTTGTAATTGCCCAAATGGTAAACAAACAAAATAAAGTGGTCATTCGCCCATTCCGTACAGTAGATACACTAATAACATACTATATGAGTAAGAAAAGGAGCCGACCTTTGGCATGACGTGCGTAGTAGTCGTTTGGAACTTGAGTTGTAGGTAGGTATCATTCGGATACTTTCTAATGATAAATGAAAAACTGGATAATTTGTAAACAAATTCTCGAATGTTTTTGACGCCAGACTGGTTACTATGCGCTTAATGCTAATCCTTCGAAGACTTGTAGGTAGGCGTCATTCTTTGATCATAGTAATAATATTCAAAGGTAGCACGAAGGTTGGTAACTGCATAGACTACCTATCTATTTACAAAATTTTAAAAAATCATACCGTAAATGTAGCTTTCGGCTAAGCGAATTGAGGCCGCGTAACTTATTCGAGTCCAAGTAAATTCTTCATTTAAGCCTCTGCAAAAACTTCCTGGTATTAGAGCTAATAGCCCAAAAATTAACACTAGCACCAACCACGTCATCGTTTAGGTAAATATAAGACGAGACGAGGACGAAGCCAACTGATCGAAATTAACAAGGTCGTTCGATAGCGTACACTAATCTTGTTTACATTTGCATACTGGTTAAATCTATCTTTTTTATCAATTTATCGTTGGGACGGGACGTTGGGTAATTACCTCTTTGCTTCAACAAATCGGTCATGCACTTAATCGTAACTAAAAACGTTCATTAGCGGTTATGCACTCATATCAGTCACATCCTCACAGAAAAAAAATTGTTTAGATTGCAACCCCAATATACTTGATACTTAAACAATATGGTACCTACCTATAACGTCACTGTGGTCAACTAGTGAGTAGCAAGGAAATAATCAATTTTTAGTTCTTTGCTATCGAGACCATTAAGTTTTACCTTTATCCCAAGGAAATTTATAAATAACGGAATACATTTCGCGATGTTGTTATATAAATATAAGTTCCCAGAGACTATATAGGTACTTATTGCAAAATTACACTTTTTTCCATCAAACTATTAAGATAAGTAGTATTTTTTATTTTCAAAAAGACAAAATGCCTCGATGTATGTGTTGAAAAACTGCCCAGGATTATACCACAGCATACCCATTTGTGATTATACCAATAGAAGAATAGGTGATATAACCCATGGTGAATAGGTATTCCTTTGCCACCGAAAGCTAGTACTATGTTGAGAATGAGAGACGAATTTATAACAAGGCACAGCGTGGGACCCATGCCTCCCTAAATTTTCCATGGGGAACGGCCGAATGGCGAATGCTAGTTGTTAAATAAAACCATATACAGGGAGATCAATAATCATATGCTGCGCCGCTCTTATAAAATATCACATTAGTAATCATTTGCCGCAATCAGGTATACAGTGAATTTTTTTAAAATGCGAACATAGGAGTTTGCATGCAATGTAATTTCCCTATGTTCGATTTAAAAAAAAACACATCAATCTATGAGGTGTGCGCGGTTCACATTCCCAAAACGCGCAACTTGTGTGACTATGAACAGCAACTCATAATCTTTATGATGAAGAGCACTCGGTCAGATTTTTTTAAATAAACCATGTGAGGCCATAGCAACTTTAGGATACATTTTTCTTAAACTTACGATAACTTGACTTCACATGGCACGCGCTGACATCACAATTCATTGTGAACCAACCTTCAATTATTTGTAGGTCATGTGCACCTGGTATTCTACTAATTTGATCTATTCAATACATAAATGAAGAAAATAAATACCGAAAACAATTACAATAAATGTTCGAAGTGTCCTCCTTGACATTCTAAGCAATAACCTAACCGATTTCGTAATTAAATTGGACGACGGTATTTTTAAAAATGTGACCGCTGTCAATTGTATCTACTACTCATTTGAACTACTCAATAGATTTATGTGTTTTTTTAAATCGAACATAGGGAAATTACTACATTACATGCAAACTCCTATGTTCGCATTTAAAAAAATTCACTGTATATATTCAAAGGTCAGCCAGACACAGACGTAGAGACTTTTCTTAAGACACGCGCGTGCATCTCAGAGTAAGAAATAAAGATAGAGATGCCTTGATGCTTATCTATGCGTGCCATCATCTCGTTTGTTTACTAACATTGCAGGAGGCTACGTTGTCACATTTCACGAGATAGTTTTTAAGGGAATATTAATAATATATGCATCTCGAGTAATCTAAATGGATTTTTAGATGCTTATAAGAGTTCAGTAACCCAAACAATTTTAACTTACAATTAAACGGCGTAACAAGAAAAGTTATGGTGATTAGTGCACCACATCGGCAACGCTGTAACTTTGTTTTCCGTTGAGAGGTATTTTGTTTATTTCGTTAAAACGTGATTCCTTAATTTTTAGGCGTTTTTATAGTGCAAGACTTATTCGATTTATGGTGTATTAATTTATGGGAGCGCTTTGAAATGGGGAAAAGCTGTATTATTTGTGGAATTATTGAATTACCTAACATAACCTTTCATCGGTATTTGTTTTGATGACATAGACGTGCATACGGGAATTTTCGCATTTTAATGTGTTTAGATTTCCTTCTAAGTTCCCACTTTGAAGTATCACCATACCTTATCATAGATCAATAGGGACCTTTCAAACACACAGCTTTTGATCATAAATATTTAGTGATACGTTATTACGTTTGCACATGTAAACAAAACATAAACTTTGTTGCCCATAAAGATAAATAAACCCTACGCCACTGACTAATGTTTACTTTCGTCCTCTCAAAGGTCAAATTATCTGAGATGTTGGATCAAAACAAACGTTCACGTTGTTATAGCGTACGCGTACTCGATCTTTATTTCTTACTCTGAGCAAAGATCATACTACACTAGATAGCCAGCGTATATGCAAGAGTTGTTTCGCGTTTAAGTAGTTCCATAAAAATATTTATAGGGGGCTTTCAAAGTTAAGAACGTAACTGATTCATCCGAAGCCGTCTTCGTACGAGTTCGAATCATATCATAAATACAAAGAGTGATTATTGTCTAAACACGAGACACAAACATGACCTACTGAACACTCCTCACTATCATTGGGATAAAATTACATTTGTAAGTGGGCGTCATTCAAGACGAGGTAGATTCTATTACAGTCAGGACGTTACAATGAAAGAAATAATTTGAAAGTTGTACACAATATTCCCTTTGCTTTTTTTTAACCAGCGCTAACCAATACATTTTCCAGATTTTCGGATTAAATTAATAATTGCAAAAGCGTCTTTTTTCTTAGCATAATTTCTGAAAACTTTTAGTTTCACGTACCTATCTACGATACTTTAGCAAATCTTCAAATATAATATCACAGATTTAAATATACTATAAATCTGTGATAATATGCACCTACTTATCCAGGCATATTTACATTGTAACCACACATTTATCTAATTTAGATTTGTTGTAATTAAGCATTTTATGATTGGGATAAACGAGATATCCCGCTTAGCCTCCTACATAATAAAATTGTGTCCAGCTAAAGTGAGTCGGAACTAGAAGCGTCTGTGGTTAAAATTTCAAAGAAATATCTCCATAAGTATGAAAGTTGGCATTGCACAGTCTGCGCAAAATATGGAAAATACGAAACTGATCGAAATGGGCAAATATAGACCATAACGGCTATCAATTAGCGTAAACCCGAAGTCTCTAGGTGGCCCAGGGGCCGAGATCTCGATGGAACGGATGGACGGACGGACGGACAGATGGAAACACGAGCACATAAGCTTTACCTCACTTCGTTGTGTTACGATAAAAAATTTAATTTAAAACAAGATGTGAGTATTCGGTATTTTAATTTACAGTAAGGTAACCAGATAAAAACATCTATAACACCCACACAAGGTTGCGCTTAAGAATGACACCGATATCCCATACAATAGCCCTTTATTCTAAAAATAACTGTGCTTTGCCATTTCGCGCGTCTTCTTACCCCGCCAGGTAGTTTGTACTATTCTCATAAAAACATAGCCGCTGGAGGACGCAGTCGACTTATTTGGCGGGACGAATTATGAGAGACTAAAATTTATACAGCGCTGTCTATCTAGTGTAGTATGATCTTTGCTCTGAGGTACCAATACAAAACATAACCTATAATTTTACAAACCAAAACCATGATTTGTGATTCTTATTCGAATACTTTCGTCCCTTTCAAAACGGCTTTTTTTCAAGACTACCAGTTTCTTTCGAATATTTACAAGGTGGGTAAATTACTTGTAAATTACAAACAAACGTTTTTTTAGTTGTAGCGTGTAATAGGCAATAGGTTTACTCCGACAAGCCTTTTACTTTAGAAGAGAATAAGATGCGTTTGCTGTCCTGTTCCGTAATGGGACTAAAGACGAAAGTGGAGTTTGGGAGTACTCGATACGTTTGTGTATACAGGAGTTTCGATAAACGATTGTCAACCATGACGAGGATTACAAACAATATACGCCGAAATGCTCATCGTCTACTTGAGCGGTTTAACATACAGGAAGTCTTGCTTCTGGGAAGTCACCTGGCCGCTTAGTGATTGCTAATAAGGAGGTTGTAAAAGATGTTCTTGCTCGTCTTGAGCAAAGTCGGAAAAAGCAGCTGCGACAATTTGTCCCACTAACGGGCATCTCATACGGAACGTGTGACGCTATTGCCTGGAGAAAATTGTACTTCTATCCTTTAAAGTAACCGTGTTACAAGAACTCATCGTCCAGACTTGCAAAGCCGTCTAAATTATTGCATGCAAATTTACGAGATGGCAACGTATATAAAATATAACCAAACTACTCCCTCCATTATTTTCAATTTCGAACTATTCAAATTACAATCCGAAACTAATGGGACCTCAAGGACGCTTTCACCGTTCACGTGGTCTTATTTTTAAGCACTAGGTATACCCCTACACATGGTTGCATGACACGGTTTTCCTTAATACGAAATGTTGTAATGGCCTTCTGGTTTTCGGATAAGGGCGGATATCTGGTTAACTGGAATCCTGGTTAACCTGGTTAAAAGGAATCTTCCGAGCGATTCAAACAACTCTGTTGAAGAGCCAGTTGAATCTTTCAGCAGCCTTCCTCAAAGTGAAAAATTGCTATTGGCTGCACTTTGTGGTCTCTCTATCCGCCACACCTAATACTTCTACACGACTGAACCGATTTGGACTACTTTCGAATTGGTAGCTTTCAAATTATGGTTATTCATTATTAACGACTAACCAGCGACAAAAAGTGAGTTCATGATTTAGGACTTTCTATCTAAAAGATTTTCATTGCAAATTTGCAGTCATTTTCAAGTTTTTTTTCGAGCGCCAAAACGAACAACATTTTTCTGATCCTATACATGCTTGACACACGACTGAACGCATTGGCAAACCTATCGGTGGAAAAGAAGTTCGTTCAATTTGAGAATTGTTACCTACTTGTATTTGAGAAAACGTCAAAGTACTTAGATGAGAATAGTCAGTTGGATTTGAGAAAACATCAAATGTATTTGAGAATAAGTAGTCAATTGTATTTGAGAAATTATCATTTAATTTTATTGTATTTCAGAATGTAATATTATTCCTAATGAATTATAATTAAGAATCAAATTTTTATAATTCCGCTACTGTATGTATAGTCCCCAACAGCAGCAGCAGCATCAGGCTATGTTAATTGTTATACATGTGATTTTGTTTTCCTCATTTTCAATTGATATCTTCTCAAATACATTTTACCATTTCTTGAATACAATTTACTACTCTCAAATTCATTTGATGCCTTCTCAAATACAAATCACTATTCTGAACTACATTTGTTGTTTTCTCAAATACATTTTACTATTCTCAAATGCAATTGATACTTTCTCAAATTAACTTGATAGTTTCTCGAATAAAAGTGGAAAAGGTGTAGTTAGCTTAATCCAAATAAATCTTTTCTCTAAATACTTTCATTGACTACTTGACTACAAACTATAAACAAATGCATTTGATTTTTTTAGGTATTAGTTCTCTTGAATGAAATTGGGCTACGTGCTTGTTGCCGAATATTATTGAGGAAGTTTTTTTTAAAATTAAAAGTTACTTGAAATTGTTTTGGATGATACCTAACAATAATTTAATTACTGGGCCACCGGGTCAAGACGGGTCACTGAGTAAAGCTGGGTCACCGGGTCAAACTGAGTCACCGGGTCAAGCTGGGTCACCGGGTCCACTGGGTCAGTAAACTAACTGGGTCACCGGGTCACTCTATGCTTGACCCAGTCCAACTCTGCTTATTTTTTGCCTTAAATGATTGGACTATGGTACCTATAAACGCTACAGTAGGTATAATTACAAAAAATGGTAAAACCGGATTTTATGCATTTATCCTATGGATTTCTGGAAAATTTAGGTTGCTTCCAGTTAAACCGAAAATGAAAAAAATTGTAATTATTGTCAATCAATCCTTTTCTTTTTACTCCAAATTGAAAAAATACCTAACAACTTCAGCGAATAATTCATAACAAGTAACTGATGATGAGTGATGAAGTGATAATTTATACTCCCTTCGGCATTTAAAATCACATTGAGTATATGAAGACACTGCTTATCTAATAAATACTTAATTAAAAAGGTATTTCGATGTTAAGATTGTTAGGGGCCGCACGTGTCGCGCATTGTTCCTTCTTAGCAGTTTCTTCGTCACTGTCTTGATATAAAGGGAGTAGTAGGTATATTGCAACAATTGGGAAAACCAAAAATTAAATAAAAATTTACCAATCCTTGTTATTTTACCTGCTATAGCGTTTGTCTCAAGGCAGTGACGAAGAAACCCCCGAAGCAAAGACCAAAGACGACAATGCGCGACGCCGTGTAGCATGTAGCCCATCCGTCACGAATTCCCGCCGGAAAAATTGCATTTTAACCACAACGTTGCCATTTTAGATAGTGTATGGTTGGTTGCCTAAGTGGCAATAAGCTTCCGATTATCATTACTTTAGTCGGTGATCATACTTCTTTATAAAGTGCTTATTCATAATATGTAATACATAATATACAATAATAATATCATATAATATCTTTGTTTAATCATTTAATTAATATTATTATGGTTAGACGAAATCTGTAGATCTGTAGTGTATGTCATCTGTGGTAATACGAATATCAGTAGGTAGGTATTGTACATATTCCAAATTGGAACAGAGGTGTACGATACACTGCCTACCGTTCGGTGAAGGGTGAACTGTAACAGCAGATTTAGATTATATGGTTTTGACCTTTCCTTCTCTAAGGTTTTGATCTACTCAAGTCATATTATAATCATGCTGTAGTAAAGATGCATTTTTCAACATTTTGCGATAAGTTCACCTTCACACCATAGTTCACACATATTCCTTGCGATGAAACACATTTTGAAGATCCAGGTACATCCTGAGGCCGGCTCTGATTTGATATCATCGGGTATTAAGTAATCATAGTTCAATACTTCTTATCAGAAAATATGGATTAGTACAGGTTCAAAGTGTGATATGAAGTTCCTCAGTTTCACATATAAATTGTAAAACCACCGTACCTATCTGTCGATAATTAACCTCATAATATCAGCCATGAGTAATTTATTGTTAACAATTAATAATAGGTTAGGTATGATAATTAATGGTGAAATTTGCGATTATCGCTATCGGTAAGTATGTCAACTTGTCCTGGGTTCATACAGCGTTCCAGTTTATTTTATTAATACTATTTTAATAATTTCAGCAGCTTCTCCATGATTTATTTTTAAGACTGTAAATTAGCGAACCTAGTGGTTACGACTGCAACTAAAAAGAGAAGAATGTTCACGAAGTTAGAAAAGCCAACTTCTCGTTTTATTTCATATAAGACGGTCAAGTGTTGAGTAACAAATTGTACGCGGAACGGGTTTTGGTTTGTGTAAACTGTTTTAAAATAGCTCGGGAATAAGGCCAGAATCGTATCCGAGCTCAGCAGTAAGCTCCTAAAAGTAGGAACTCTTAAATAAAGGTTAAGTTCTGCTTTCACCCAGTTTTCAAAGTGATTATTCGTGTGCAGTGCTTTTTTTTTAATTATTTGTGTAATTTCGAAAAAATGTCGGAAAGTAAAGGATCTTTAATAGCAAAATCGGTACAGAAACATGCAGGGAGAGCAAAAGAAAAGGTCAGTGACCAACTTATACATTTAACACGGATTTGCTTAGTTCCTAGTTTAGATTTGTAAAATTATTTTACAAAATACATAAATAGATTTAGCGGTCTCGATATATTTCTGTATTCTGTCGGAAGTTAAATGTCCATTAATAACTTCGCTTTCGCTTACCTAAATGTGCTTTTTATGATTGCGTTGTAGATGTACCTACCTTTGGGTTTTAAGGTGGGTATTTAATGCGTTTTCTTCTTTACCTTGTTTGGTATCGATAATGTATTCCCAAGCCCACATTTGCCATTCGCCTCACATGCAGGAATTCTTATACAATTTAACGGGAGTTCTACTCATTTGTACATACTTAATTATATGCTCATGCATGTATGTAGTTGTTATTTCTGTTTTGTATGAAAACCCGAAAGATACCTAGATACTTCTAAAAACAAGATTATTAATTAAGGTTAAGTAAATGGTAAGATAGCAAAAACCTACGCTTTTTATTAGCGTAATCTGCATTAATAAATAATTATTGTGCATCGGGAATAGATTTCGCGCTCTTTTCAAATGTTCAATATCACAAATCTAATCACAGTGACAGATGAATGTTATTTGTCGAGATTTGACGTTTTATGAGGACATTGCGACTGAACAACCAATCATATTTCTAAATTGGGTGTTTCTTTCCATCTCACTCTTCTACACCTACACTCAAACTGTTAACCTCAGAAGAAAAATGCCTAAACATTACAAACAGCAGTAGAGACTACCGTTTTCATCATTTTTATGTAATGCCCTGTCCCTGTTAATAACCTGAACATTTACTGATTATCATATTTTTTATTTTTGAATCACCGCTATATAATTAATTCTTGCGGAAGGTAAGTATCCGTCTATTGTGATTTGTATTTCATTTTCTTCCGTAAGAAGTAAAAGCTGTTCTGTACTGAATGCCAATGGTAAATTGTATGATGTTCGAGATACAGTTACTTATTTTGATTACGTCAAGTGGAACTAAAGTTTATCCTTTATCCGAGCCTTTATCATATGTATTATGGTATGTCTACGATCATCTCGACGATCATTGAATATAACTTTAATACTTTAATGGATAACTAACCATCGAGACTACCAGGGAACCAGGGACGGATAGAATACCCATCAGGCCATCACCTTCGCGAATGCCAAGGTAACATGCTTATCCATCACCGGATCGTCGCTAGGAAAAAACAACCTCGGGCAAAGGAGGATTCGGAAAACATTTAAAATAAAATGAGGCAAATATGAAGAGCGTTTATATCTCCCGAGATATCTCCCAATCATAGACGAGTAAAATTTAGCATTAGATATTTGTTTTTAACTTATAGGAGAGAGCACATTTCCCCGTGTCGGTTGCTTTTACAAGTGATGATTTCACTACGTGATTACAATGATAAGAACTCGATTATGTACTGCTCAGGATTAAGAGTAGGTATACAAGTCGAGATACAAGCTCGGATACAAGTCTACCTCCGGGTCTGCAATACCGAAAAGAATCCTAAAACATCCCCGATACGTACACTGTAGTTTTTCTTTTAACTCTTACGAGAAGTTGATAACGTGATAAACACGAGTGTTTCGTTTTCATTAATCTTTAGCTCTATTTTGAGGAACATTTTATTTCCTATTTTCCGCTAATTCTCCCACCTCTGATGCTTATCCCTGCCTGTTGGTACCTAAAAGTGATAAGAAGAATGAGGTGAGAGTGGCAAAGACCAAGTAAGACGAGAGACGCGTTTTGGTGACAGCTAAAAGTAGGTGCCCTTGAAAGTAAATTTGATAATGCCGGCCGGTCGCGATTCACTCCGCACTCGTGATATGAAGAAAAGAATAAGTTAAGGAGAACCAGCAAACAGGTAATCCATTTTATCTTTATAATTATTCCCTTCCGCAACAACGAGGTTAAACATTAGTATAATAGTAAGTTATTTTATTTTATCTACGAATAATGTATGATGTCGTATACTTGGTTTGTTCAGTATAATGCCATCCATTATTCCCTTAGTGCTCGGACCAGGGATTAATAGCTCTTAACGCCTTCTTGTACTCCAATCACGAAATATTCTTAAATTTAATATCATCCATGGAAACAAAACAAACGTCAACAGTGTAAATATCAAGCGGGTCGTGTATTGTTTGTGTATATTTT